GTCGGTCACTTTAAAGGAACAGGAACAGGAACTTGACCATGGCTACAGGAAAGAGGGTCATCTTAAGGAGCTAGACCCATTTCCTCTAGAGCACATTTCCTAAGTCTTCATCTCCCTAATTAGAGGGGTTTCAGTGGCTTATGAATTGACCTGCTGAGTACTAAACAATTTATCATGCTATTGTGTATATTTGGCTTAAGATATTTTGGGAAATAAAGACGTCCAATTCCACATGGACAACTGATACCAAAAGCTTTCTTTTGCAACCTTAAATCGAAGGCCTCCTTAAGTCAGGCACTCCTGATCCACACATATTGAAATGCTTTTCATGGAAAGGCATGCAGACTTGGAAAACAAAACGACATAAACAAATAACAATCAGTTCATCTTCCCCACCCAACGAGGAAGATTCCCTAGAGTGAGGGCTGGTGCACCAAGGGGATGAAGGCTGTATGACTTAGCGTCTGCGCTTGCTGGGTTTGTACTCCGACAGATATCGAGGGTAATGATTTCCACTAGGCCATTAACTGTTATGCCTTTGTATTTCTAAACGTTGTTGTTTTTAAAACAAAAACAACCACTGATTTGCATGCAGAAATGACATGTTTGCAAAGAAAAATGAACTTTAAAATGACAGACGTCACTTCCAAATCCTACCAGCTCTTCTACCATTGGTCCTACAGTGGTCCAAAGGGAGACCTTTGAGTGTTGCTGACTCATAGGATGTGCAAATTGTATTTAGCTGTGCTAAAACATATGCTTAGGGACTCCCAGATCTCTGCCATAAGAAACCTTGCAGGTTTGATTTGATTCTCTGGAACCACCTCCCCCTGGAACCCTGAGTCACCTCGTGAGAAGACTAACTACAACTTACTGAAGGACCACAGGGAAAAGCTTGAGGCTACGTAAAAAGGGAGGGGCACAGCTGAGCATGACCTCCTAGCTGCCCCTGCCAAGACTCCAGGCGTGTGAGTGAGCCTGTCCTGGATCCTGCCGTCCAGACCAACCACCCGAAGAATCTCGCCAAATGACCCCAGGTGATGTGAAGGGCAAACATAGGGTCCACCTGAGCCTTGACTCATGAAATCAATAAATTGTCATCTCACACCACTAAATTTCGGGATGATTTGTTAAGAGCAATATATAGTCGGAACACCTTTGCTAAAATTTTAATTTATTTGATCAAAACCTTTATTTACTTATTTAATACCAACAAAGGATTCCTCAGCTGGATTTTGGAAAACATTAATCCAGGCAATAGATGCCCCCATCCATAAACTTCTTTTCCTTTTGCCCCATTTTCAACCCTGGTTTCACTTATCCGTACCACTGTGGCGAAAGACTCTCGCTTCAGACCAACTTTTAATGAGTTCTGTCCTTGAGTCAGGGAGTTTATATGAACCCCTTGTCTAGCAGCCCAAGTGACTCCCTAGCAAAGGTAGCTTAGATGGTCTTATTCCAAGACAGTGTGTCAGCTCTAGTAATTGTGATTCTGTTTTTTTATGTGTCGTCCCCCCCCCCC